CTCTTCTCTTCTCTTCCCTTCCCTTCCCTTCCCTTCCCTTCCCTTCCCTTCCCTTCCCTTTCCTTCTTCCTTTCCTTCTTTCCTTCTTTCTTGCATGCTGGCATATTACTGTCACTGATATTTTTGAGCTGGCTTTCTTGCTGGAAATAGCAAATGTTGGAGATAGCAAGCTCCGCTAATGTTCTTGTTCACCATTATTATTATTTTTCTTTAATGCTCTGTAGCCTCCCTGGCTGTTCACATTTCCCAATTTGAAAAAGCCCCCTGGAAAGAGTACCACCCATTTCTTCCCTTAACACTGAACGGAAGGAGAAGTCAAGGAAGCTGCAGTACTAAATTGAAGAAAATATATTGCTGGATAAACTTCTGTGGATCACATTCCCCTTCGTGAGATAGATGGAATATATTTCTAAATTTGAAATTACGTCGTAGAAGCATTATCTAGGCCAGTGTTGTCCAAACTTGGCCACTTTAAGATGAGTGGACTGGCTGGGGAATTCTGGGAGTTGAAGTCCACTCATCTTAAAGTGGCCAAGTTTGGACAACACTGGCTTAGACAGAAGCGCAAAGGGATTCAGGCAAATAACCAGGGGTGCGATGTGCTTAAAATTGCAGTCATGGCCACCATCTTGACTTTTTTGACCACACACAGCACCCTTGCAAATCATGGGGTGCTCTAAAAAAAACACCCCATGATTTGCACACATTGTACACATTTGTACACATTGCACACATTGCAACAGAGGAGGTTCCATTTTCTCTTTTAGATAAAGAAAAAACTGTCATGCCAAGGCCAGTCAGATTGCCCACCTGTTGTCTAAAAGTTTCATTTCTCTTTCACCCTTGACCTTCGTTTTGCCAAGTTTTGGCAGGGCTTTGCTTTATGAAATATCTTGCTGAGCTATATATCATCTGCTTATCCAACCGAGTTTTCCCCATGAAACTTTTGGCTTAAGCTGCAAGCCCATCAAAAACTTTAAAAAGTCTGTTGCTGCAACAGATTACATCCATTTCCTGCTCCAAGCACTCCCCTTAGTCTCCCCATCAAGGACCACATCTCCTGTGACTGAGTTCACAGGCTGTACTAAACCACGGTGTTTTCAGCCAACGCTGCTGAGTTGAGACAGCACACAAAAGCCAAAAAATGCCCCACGTGCCTGGGTTCCCCAGAGGTTGCAAAAGGGTCCAACCAGCCAGAGTCCAGCAGTGGCCCAGCCTTGAAACAGGCTGTGTCACCTGAGAGAGAGAGGTCAGCGGGGCCCACGTCAGAGTCCAATGAAGTGGACAGCTTGTTCCAACACTGGGATAGCCATTCCGGCCGGGTCAAAGCAAGGCATTTGGGGGCGAGAGCGTTTTGACTCTGAAATGCTTGGCACAGCACCCTAGAGATCACTCTGCCCTCAGAGCTAAACATCAAACCATGGGACGACTTAGTGCCGTGTGTGAACCAAGCCAAGGATTTTGCTGTCTATGCCAATCATTTCGTTTCACTTTGCCACCGTCATTATAACACCCAGGACCGTCTGAAGCACAGAGCAAAGCAAACCGTATGTTTTTGTCACATTTAAAAAACAAAACGAACGGGAGCTTGGCAATGGGTGGCAGAGCCAGAAGATCCTCCAAGCAAAGCCTTTGCAAAGCCTTTGTCCTGAGCCGGGGAGCAACAGGGGCAACGACGCAGAAGCCACGTCTACAGCTTCCTGTGCGAAACAGGGCCCCTCGCATCAGTTCAAGGCACGTTGCCTCCCACCAAAACTTAGAAGCCAACCATGAGCGACCTGTGGAATATTGGAAAGGGGCCTTACTGTATCTGATTAATAGCTTGCTTCACTGTTCTTTTCAGGAGCTCTTGGATATTTCGGATGAGCTCTGCCTCCTAGAAGAAAACGGTAAAGATATTAGTACCAGGAACTGCAGGCCAATGGCACTGAAGAGGAGCCTTTAAAATGAGGGGCACGGCTCCCATCTTTAGCTCCATCTGCACACTGTGGGTCTGACAGCGGAAGCAAAACCAAGCACCCGGCACAGCATTTTGTGTAAAAAGATCTGATTTTTATTTCATAAAGAAGTTTCTAGCCCTGGTGGCTGCAAACCTATGGCAACCCAGGCCTGCTGGAACCTCAGGAGCGAGAGGGGTTGTTGAAGATGGGCACAGCCACCATTCCTGAACCCATCATCCCAAATCTAGACTATCTGGATCTAGCAGCAAAGACCGCTGAACAGCGCAGGTGAGGCACGTGGACATTCATTAGAGCTTTTCACGGAATCTGAGCGTTCCTGTCGCGCTGGGTGCCCCCTCCCTGATCTGCCTTCCGTTAGAAAACAGCCCCCTTCCCATTTGGAATAGGGCCTGGGCTCAGTTCTTTTCCAGGGCTTCCTTTGGCATCCTAAAAATGTTCCACGACTAAAGAATCCGGCACAGCGGTCTCTGAAATGCATCTGAGTAACAGAGCAGGTTTGGGGTTTGTGATGGGAAGAGAAGGGAAGGGAAGGAGGGGGCTTAGAAAAGGGGATGTTAAACTGAGGGGCAGGATGGAGCAGGAGGGCTCCCAGTTAGAAAGTGGGGGAACGCGGACGATGGACCTTTGGAAGAGGAATGGACCAGACGCTTGGCTAAGGTAGGCTGACCAAATACAACGTGCATCCCCCCTCCCCTCCGTCTGCATTTCTGGCCCTGAAGACCCCAGAGCCCCCTCCCCACCCCAGATGAGGGGGGTCTGACATTTTTGGACTTCTTCCTCATTTTGGGGTTGGGGAAGCTTGAGTCGAAATGGGAGGAGTATTTTTTGTAGAGGCTTAAAGCACCCTGAGCACCCCCTTAAAAAGACAGCCTTAAAAAGGGGTGTGTGATTTTTTTCCATCTTGGAGAATAAGACCACGGAACAAGAGAGATGCCTCCCCAGGTCCCCAAAGCTAAAGTAAAATGGGACCCAAATGTAGGTCCTCACCCACTCCAGTGATGCCACCTCTCTGAAAAAGGGATTTCTTGGGGTGGAGGTGGGGGTGGAAAGGAAACTGCACCTGTTGTACCATGTTGTACCTGAAGGAGGTAGAAGGGAAGCATGTACCTGCCATAGGTTTGCAGCCACCAGGGCTAGAAACTTGCTTATGAAATAAAAATCAGATCTTTTTACACAAAATGCTGTGCCTGGTGCTTGGTTTTGCTTCCGCTGTCAGAAGCAGGCAGGGAGGGAGAGCTCTTCCAGTCTGGACAAGGCTGCCCAAGGGAAGGGTCAAGCAGGACGCTGTCCGTCCCTAGCTCACACCAAGTCCTTTGGCCACCTAACTGGGAGTCTCTGCAAGACATGGTCAAAAAAGTCAAGATGGCGGCCATGGCGGTGCAATCAAAGCATTCCAAATAGAAACCAGGTGGAGCTTCAACTGCACTGTCCTGGTTGCCACCTTGACTGTTTTGACCGCACTCTGTGGACCTACCGGCATCGGACCCTTAGTGGTCAAAGCCCAGCTACCTTTGCAAGGCGTTCCTGCAGAAATCACTCACAAGGACCCCCAGCGGTTCTCCCTCCCTGGCTGAAAGGCCATTTGAAAGTTTAAAGGTGACCTTCTGGCATTTTTCAAGCAACCTTGTCTTGTTAATGGGGGGTGGAGTTTCCAGAGAGAGACCTCCTGGTTTAGTCACACCCACTTCATCCCATCCCCGAGAACACTCAGCATTGGTCTTCCCCAGAAGCACCAATCCAGCAAAGCAGCAGGTAAACGTTGAATGAGGCAGGATATCAGCTGCTCCCGTCACACAGTTGGTCCTTAGGCTTTTTTTAAAAAATGCACGCATGTGCAAATCTACAGGCTTCCAAGCTAATTTCCACTGGCAAGTTGCAAAACAGGATGTATTCACAAATGACCTCACCCAAGAGCACCAAGCCATATTCCTGGATGGGGTCATTTGTGAATGCATCCTGGAGCAAGTCCATTTCCAAGCTGACTTCCACATATGTAAATATGGTGCAAAACAAATGAAGTGTTTTCTTCTACCAAATCTGGTCCATCTGGGTCAACATTGTCTATTCTGCTTGGACTCAGCCATTGTGCTAAGAGAGATTTGTTTTGACCAGAGTTTGTTGCACAAGCCACATTTGCCTCGGTTCACACGATCTGCCAAGCCATAATGGGTTTTTTTGTGTGCACCGGACTATGGGCTGGTTTGGGTTCCCTAGGGTTTCAGGCAAAAGATCTCTTGCAGTTCAACTGGAGATGCCAGAGGAGAAAAGGGGGACCTTCTGCAGTGCCACACAGAACCTCCAATCTCAGCTAAAGTTCTTCCCTATCTCCAAGAAGCCGCAAACAGCCTCTAGGGACCATTTATGAAGGAAGCGCCCTACCTTGAGCAGCTCTGTCTCCACCTGGTCCCTCACCAGGTCAGGGTGCTGCCGGCGCTCACGGCACTGCAGGTTGTCCATGGCAATGCTGTAGGGGAGCTCCGTGGCGTCGATGGCTCGCTCCAGCCGCAGCTTCTGAGCCAACAGCAGGTCGGTCTCGGCCACGAGGTCCTCAATTTCCCTCTGGAGCTCCGACTTCCAGAAGTGGATGTCCTGGAGGCGCTCGCCCACCTTGGCCGTGGAGTCCTCCTGCGTGCGCTGGGCCAATTCGGCCGTGTAAGCAGCCAGGTTCTGGGACTCGTGGCGGCACCGCTCAGAGTGGTCGCGGTCAGCAAAGGCCTCGTGGTACTGGATGTAGTTGTGCTGGTGCCATTCTTCAGGCAGGAACTTGGCTGTGCGGAAGCCGGCCGTGGCCAGGCCACACGACGAATCGGGGCCGGTGTTCAGAGCCGGCTCGTACACCTTCATGGGAAGCTCGGAGACGGGGATGGTCTGCGGAGCAGGCTCCTTGGTGAGCAGCACACCCGGCTGAGACATGGCTCCGTGGGTAGCTCTGCCAAGCACAGAAGGAAGCCAAGGCCCCTCCCTGGCGAGGGGCGTGAGCTCTCCCGGCCTAGGAAACTCCCCGGCTCGCTTAGCGGCCCCAAGGATGCTCGGCTGCAACCCAGGTTGCTTCAGATCAGCGTCTTCCCGTTGCTCTGGGCAACGTTTCCGGCCAATGAGCAGCCGATCTGAGTTGTATGGAAACGAACCGGCCTCTCATGTTTGGCGTTTTCTTGTTGCCCTGGCGATGCCTGAGAGCCAATGAGCCGCCTGGGGAAGTCGTGATATGGGGCGACGCAACCCCTCCTCACCCCGGGAGATGGGAGGGACCCAGGGCTGGGAGCACACGCACCAACACGCCGAGCACCGAAGAGGCGTGGCAAGAAACTGGGGCACTCGGGCAACCGAGCTGTGCCTTGTCGTGAGGATAAAAACAATTGCGCAACAGTGAAGTAAACGTAGGCATCAACCGGATGCATCAACGACGAGAGGAGGAGGAACATACAGCAAGGGCATCCTCGTGTGGGTGCGCTCTTGCGACTTAAAAGGAACGCAAAGTTACGACAACAACAACAACAACAACAACAACAACAATAATAATAATGCCTCTACTTTTACACTTCAGCTGTTAGTCTTAAGTTCCTAGACAAGCCAACATCTTCCAAACGTCACCTTCAAAGAGCCCCGTCCAAGATGCCAATTGAAAGGCCCGGTGGGAGTTGCAGATATTTAGACATTTCCTACACTGGCACTTCCGTTGGCATCCTGAGTACTTGTAAAATCAAAACGGCTACGGGGAAGCAGATTTCCTTAGGTTCACAATCTCACAACTGGAGTATTTAAGAATGACCGCCTATTATTATTCATAAGGAGTCGGTAAAATAATGAACAGCATTCAATATTATTAAAAACAGGTGTTTATTAACTAAATATGTGTGAGCCACCTTTAAAAGCTATCTTCATAAAATAGGTTACAGTAATCTAACTACATACTGTAAAAAAAAAAAAAAAAAACCCTTAACAGGTTTTTTTTTAAGGCTTACAAGATCAGTGGACTTGGGATATAGTTGTAATTACAGCTTTTTGTTCGTTTGCTCTTTTTATGGGTTGTCGTGTAATGCTTTTCTTTCCATTTGGTTTTGGGGATGGTAAATTGTTCGTTTTTATTTTACGTTATTTTATGTTTGTTTGAAAATGGATTAATAAAAATTATCTGGTTAAAAAAAAAAAAATCAGCATCTCATGTAATAAAATATTTGTTTTCAGGTCCTCTCTCTGTAAATGGAGATCTAATGCTAAACTCGTGAAGGCAAGAAGGCACGACCTAAAGACATTTTCTCCTAATGGGTCAATTGCAATGTCCACATCCCAGTTCTCTTCCCTTTGCACCAGATTTTGGAGAGGGGAGGATAGGGGGAGGGAGAAACTCTCTGCAAAGTAGAACATAAATAATTCCTGGTCCCAAGGATGGTTTCAGCCCAGTGTTTCAAGTTACCCTCACAGCCCAGGAAGGAAGGTTAGTTTAACTCAACCCAGTTAGCTTTTGGGGTGGATTGTAATTTGAATTCTCACATTTGAGAGTTTGAGGTGCAGGTCTGTTTTTATTTCATTTCAGCCACTCCAGTAAATAAAGGAAAAGAATAATCTCTTTTCAGTTTGAGTCAGGCTGAATAAAGCACAGGTCCGTGCAGTTTCCTTGGCATCTTACAAAAATGGTTTATCACTGACTTCTGGGATTTTTATCCACTTCCTTGGGATTGCCATGTGGCCTCCCATCCAAGCACTAACCAGCTCCAACCTTGCTTAGCTTCCTGAGCTCTGTTAGCATGCCACCTTCACAGTCCTAGCAATGGTCATAATAGACCTGTTTGATATGGCTCACCTACTTTCAGGGGCAACCTTTACGTTGCCCACAAGTTAGGGTCTAACTGAAACATGACTGCTCTTTGAAAAAGCTGAGTTCACATCAGTGCAAGTCCTGGAACCTGCCCAAATGCACTGAATGCAGGCATTGTGCTTCCATTTTTTTAAAGTTAAGTTGCTAGCCCTCACAATGCTCAAATTGCCACTTAGCTTATAATGCAATTACAGTCCTCGCTGTGTTCTTCCCGGGTGTTTAGGATTGCACGCAAAATGGTATTGAAATCCCAGGGAAAGTTCTACAGTGGGGTTTCACTTCCTAGAAGGAGCAGAAGGTGCTGCAAAGATCAGGAGAACCCTGCAGAGCCAGCCTTCTGGAATTCTTCACAGCCCACGTGGTCCTGAGATCATCATGTATAGCAAAGGAGGATTTTGTATGTGTGCTTCTGCTCTTAAGCCGTATTGGGTGTATACCAGGAAGGACGGGGCAGGCAAGATGCTTCCTGCCCTGGGTCACATGACCAGAAGGAAGAAGGGCTTAGAATGGAGCAATGGGTGGCATTGCCAGCCAATGCCAGGGGCCTCTCCTATCCAACTGCACTGGGAGAATTTTCCAGGATTTTTTTCCCTCCAACATCCCTGGCCTGATCCAGCCCATTTTCAGATTCAATCTTTCTTTGGCCAGCTTCTCCCACCATACCACATTTGGTTCCGTTCGGTTCATGATGAAGAGCTACTGTACAGAACTCCAAGTCTCTTTACATAGGAAATATCAAACTTATTTAATAGCAAAGGAAAAAAGAAAAACTCAGAATCAATCAGCAGATACAGCTAAGACAGTCATAGAAAACCTGAACAATTTAGATTTAAAACCAGAGTAAGGGAAAAATTGAAAAAAATAGAGGAAAAGAAGGTAAAAGAATAAAATAGAAATACAATAACATCAAAGAGCAAAGAAACTTAATGTCAAATCAAATCAAATTTGATTTGATAATAGTATCATTTCACGATTAGGACATCTGTTTTCTTCTGATGGGTTAGGGCAGTGTTGTCCAAACTTGGCCACTTTGAGTGGACTTCAACTCTGCTGGGTGGGGAATTCTGGGAGTTGAAGTCCACTCATCTTAAAGTGGCCAAGTTTGGACAACACTGCCC